GATGCACTCTAAACATATTTGGATGCACTCTAAAAGTGTTTGGACGCACTCTAAACGTGTTGGCACGCACTCTAAACGTGTTTCAACGCACTCTAAACGTGTTTGAACGCACTCTAAACGTGTTTGGATGCACTCTAAGTATGTTTGGATGCACTCTAAACATGTTTAGATGAACTCTAAACATGGTTCGACGCACTCTAAAAATGTTTTGATGCATTCTAAACATGTTTGGATGCACTCTAAAAGTATTTGGATGCACTCTATACGTGTTTCGACGCACTTTAAGTATGTTTGGATGCACTCTAAATATGTTTAGACGAACTCTAAATATGTTTCGAAACACTCTAAATATGTTTGGATGAACTCTAAACATGGTTCGACGCACTCTAAAAATGTTTTAATGCACTCTAAACATGTTTGGATGCACTCTTACTATGTTTTGAGGCATTTTAACAAGTTTGGATGCACTCTTAATATGTTTCGATGTGCTCTAAACATGTTTCGACGAAATCTAAACATCTTTTATTGCACTCTAAACATGGTTCCACGCACTCTAAAAATGTTTTGATGCACTCTAAACATGTTTGGATGCACTCTAAATATGTTTAGACGAACTCTAAACATGTTTCGAAGCACTCTAAATATGTTTCGATGCACTCTAAAAATGTTTTAATGCACTCTAAACTTGTTTGGATGCACTCTTAGTATGTTTTGACGCACTTTAAACAAGTTTGGATGCACTCTAAATATGTTTCGATGTGCTCTAAACATGTTTCGACGAACTCTAAACATCTTTTATTGCACTCTAAACATGTTTCGACGCACTTTAAACATATTTTGACGCACTCTAAAAATGTTTTGATGCACACTAAACATGTTTGGATGCACTCTAAAAGTGTTTGGACGCACTCTAAACGTGTTTGCATGCACTCTAAACGTATTTGGACGCACTCTAAACGTGTTTATACAAATTCTAAACATGTTTCAATGCTCTCTAAGTATATTTCATCGCACTCTAAACATGTTTCGACGCACTCTAAACATGTTTGAAAGCACTCAATATATTTCGATGCATTCTATATATGTTTTGACGGACTCTAAACGTCTTTTATTGCACATTAAACATGTTTGGATGCACTCTAAATGTGTTTGGACGCACTCTAAACGTGTTTGCACGCACTCTAAACGTATTTGGACGCACTCTAAACGTGTTTATACAAACTCTAAACATGTTTCGATGCTCTCTAAGTATATTTCATCGCACTCTAAACATGTTTCGACGCACTCTTAAAATATTTCGATGCTCTCTAAATATGTTTGGATGCACTCTAAGTATGTTTTGACGCACTTTAAACAAGTTTGGATGCGCTCTAAATATGTTTCAACGTGCTCTAAACATGTTTCGACGAACTCTAAACATCTTTTATT